ACAAAAGCAAATCCTTGGGTTAGTTGTGCTGAAGGAGGCCAGAAATATGGCTTTTTCAGCATAAGTAAACCCTGGGGTTATTTATGCTGAAGGAGGCCATAAATATGGCTTTTAACAACATAAGTAAACCCAGGGGTTTGATTATGTTGTTTAAAGCCACATTGGCCTCTGTCAGCATAAGTAAGCCCTAAGGTCGCTTATGGTCATTATCAAAGATGGCCTTTTTCAGCATAATCTAACCCTGGGGTTAGTTATGCTGAAAAGGGCCATTCTTATGCTGATAAGGTACACTTTCTAACCCTGACATTATGGTTGATACAGAAAAAAACAATTTGCAATAAATTTGTCAAAAATTGGAATATTTAAAATCCGAGTTGACCATAAAAAATCGTATGAAAATACTCATTATATTATGGAGTTTAATCCGTGTTTTCACTTGAAAATATGACATAAAGTTAACTTGAAAAAGTGGCCTTTTTCAGCATAACGATTTTTCTAAAGTCCATAAAAACTTAAAAAAAACAATTTTTCAGAATGAAATGAATTCCAAACGCACATAAAACTTCCTAAAAAAGTGAAATTCCGAGAAAAAACTTGAGGGAAAAAAGTTATTTTTTCTCAATTTTGCCTAAACCCCCAAACTTCAAACAGTGATTAAACGACAAAAAAAAACGAGTTAACATGTCTAGTTTGTGTCAAAATTATCTTCATGAAAACGAACAACAGGTTTGAATAAAAGTTTTTAAATATTGGCACTTTTGGATTTTTTCTGAATGAATTACCACTTGCTGATGAAAAGGTCGATTTTTGCACAACAGCTCGAGACATAAAATGATCAGGTTAAAGGTGCAGGAACAATTTCTCCTTTCGAAACATAACCAATACAATAGTTCATATTATTTATTACAGAGGTCTTGTGTTATCAGCTATAAACTTACCTTTTATAGAACCTGACTGTGTCACACTTATTATACTAGGGAGGGTTTCTTTAATCTTTTTTCTATTGCAGCCGAAGCTATTTCATAGTCTATATTCAAAAGTGACATTGGCTCCATTTTTTAAATAACGTTTATCTTTGTTTTCTTTTGGAATACAGGTAATTATACCCTGATTCTGAAATTCTTGAAGTTTCCCTGTTCTGTTTGCATAATTTATTGATGACTAAAAATGATCCCAAGTCTTTCAAATCCCTTTTTAGCCATTTTTAAGCCGCTCTTGGCGAGAGCCGAGCGGCTTATTAATTCTGTCCAGAATACTTAATACTTAAAACGACTTCTTCTGAAGAAGTGAAAGGTATAGAATCTTAATATTTAGCTAGTTTCTTTTCTAGTTAGAGTCCGACTAAGTTTGTGAAAAAAAATACCTTGAACTATACTATCAAGGTCACAGGGAACAAATATGTCAAACAACTTAAACCACTTCTCCTGAATAATTGAAAGGTATATAATTATTATATGGCTGGTAGTATCCAGGCATAAAGCCTGACAGACGTTGCAAATGAAATTGACCTTGACCTTCTTTCAAGGACACAGAGGTCAAATATGTTAAACACTTAAAACGACTTTTCTGAAGAACTGAAAAGGAATAGAACCTTAATATTTGTCTGATAGCTTCTAGGAATGAAGCATTACCTTGACTTACTTTCGAGGTCCCAAGGGTCATATATGTCAAATGTATCAAACGACTTCTTCTGAATGATCGAAATGCTTTTCTTTTTCTGTTTCCTGAAGTTTTACTTGATGCTAGAAAAATCATAATTGGATAATAGAGTTATTAATATAGAGTTGGAATCTGAAAGTCTAATACATATTGTAGTTGCAATGTTGTGAAAAGGTTAACCTCTGCTTCAAGTATTTCTTCCTACTTATCTAATATATCCCAATCGTCTGTTATTAGTTCTGTTATAAAAGTATTAAACAAGGTCATTCATTTGAACGAACTTGGTAGCCCTTCATCACAGCATGATACAGGCGCAATATCAGTACCCTGGGCCTTTTGGTTATTGAGAAGAAGTCAAATGTACCAAACGACTTCTTCTGAATGATCGAAATGCATAGAATCATTATTTGGCTGGTTGTTTCTTCAAATGAAAATTACCTCAACCTACTTTTAAGGTGACAGGGGCCAAAGCTATCAAACACTTAAAATCATTTCTTCTGAATAATCTAAAGGCATATAATTATAATATTTTGCTGGTAACTGTCACAGATGGAGCCCGACAAAGTTTGCTATTGACAATTACCTCAACCCTCCTTTCAGGATCACAGGGGCCAAAGCTATCAAACACTTAAAATCATTTCTTCTGAATAATCTAAAGGCATATAATTATAATATTTTGCTGGTAACTGTCACAGATGGAGCCCGACAAAGTTTGCTATTGACAATTACCTCAACCTTCCTTTCAGGATCACAGGGGCCAAAGCTATCAAACACTTAAAATCATTTCTTTTGAATAATCTAAAGGCATATAATTATAATATTTTGCTGGTAACTGTCACAGATGGAGCCCGACAAAGTTTGCTATTGACAATTACCTCAACCCTCCTTTCAATATCACAGGGGTCAAATATAGCAAAAACTGCAAACAACTTCTTTTGAAGAAGTGAAAGGCATAAAGGCGTGGTATTTAACAAGTAGCTTCCTTAAAGGGAGCCCAACAAAGTTTGCGAATGATTCAATGTGGTAGAAGCCATGCCTCGATCCTAATGGGGACCCAATAAGTTAAGATGTTACTGAGAGACAGAGCTAATATTTGGAAATATTTATAGAACAGTTTATGTATTTAATATCTTGCTATGACTGCTTACTATCCAGGTGAGCGATACAGGCCCTCTGGGCCTTTTGTTCACATATTGGTTTGATCAACTTGAAAAATGAAAAACAAAATCTTGATATCGTCTGACTAGTTATATAATTATTGCATCTAATAGTGGGAATTGTTCACATCAAAGTCACTTTGAATAATAATTAGTTAACAGATAGTAGCTTAGGAATCTAAAAAAATAAATCATGATTTCACGTATTGGGTATATAGGATTTGCAGGTGCAACCCAATTCGTGAAAAGTGAAAATAAATCTTTGTATATCTTGGCTAATTAGTGTATCTTATTAGTGGATATTGTTCACATTAGAGCTTCTTTGAATAATAAGTAATTAACAGAGAGTAACTTAGGAATTTAGAAAGAAAAAAATCATGTTTTCACATATTGGTTTGATAGGATTTGTCCTATCATGTGCAACCCAATTCGGGAAAAGTGAAAAAAATATCTAAATATTTTTTATGCTAATCATTAGATTTAATTATTTAAGATGGTCCACATTAGAGTAAGTTTGAATAATAAGCAATTTAAACACAGTAATTAATGAATTCAATATAGTTTTTTCTGTTTTCATATATTGGGTTGTTTTCACATATTGGCACGCTACAGTTAGTGCGTCTATCGCAAGCTAGAATCATAAGTATCATAGTAATAATAATAATTGGAGGTTCTTATATACCGCTTTTTCACAACCTAGTTCGTAGGTCGTCTCAAAGCGGTTCACAAATTATTATCCGTGGTTAATTATAGGTCGTTTGCAACCAGCCAACATTTTTCTCAACTCCTGGGGAGCATGCAGCCGGTGCTGCCATTTCGGCGCTCACAGCTCGCATTGAACAATTCTAGCATTTACCAACCACGTACTCATCTACAGCTGAGTAGCTGGAACAAGCGGAGTAAATTTTCTTGCTCAAAGATACAACACAGTGCCGTGCCGTGGCTCGAACCCGCAACCATTCGGTCACGAGCCCGGCGTCCTACCACTACACTACTGTGCCTAACACGGTGGTCTATATTCATAATATATAAATCTAGCGAGATCTTTCTGTTCATAGTCGGATTTGAATGAAAAGAAACACGTTAAGCTAGAGTATGCACTCAAAAGGGTACTGCAGGTAAGAAGAATTACAAACGGTAAAACGTACGATATCGGTGTTAAACGTCACTCGTCACATCTTGGCAGATTCCGTACCTACATCGAGGGTACTGGAATCAACCGAGGTTAGCCGAATGGATTAAACGTAAGATACATTACTCATATAACGATGATTGAGATGTTGTTAATGCCAATGCCTGTATTCCAAAGAAGTTAGATGAATAAAACTAAAAAAAATCAAATGGTCTGATCATAACATTAGAGAAAAACAACTAGTCGCCCTTATCTTGTTAACTGCAAACTTTAGATTGTTATACTTTCATCATGCTAGAGCTAGTGCTGATCAAATAAACTCATGTTATGCCATACTCGATGCTCACTTTCTCGCTCTGCACCCCTGGAATATGTCATAGCAAAATCGAAGGCTCAGTGTGCATAACATTGTGAATTAGACGAGAAGACTTGTCTGATTCTTTGATGTACATCAAAAGAATGTATGTTCGAGTAACAGTAAAATTGACTGGCTTTGAAGTTGAGTGTCACTCCTCTCTAATCTTCAAAGAATAGGGATCAGCCTAGCGATTGGTCAGGTTGTTCTAAAACAGATAGCTATATGCCTTCAATTCTGCTATGGCATCTTCCAGGGGTGCAGAGAGTGAATGTGAGCGTAGCCCCTTGAGTATCGAGGATGATGAATTTGATCCATATTTCGCACTTCAGGTGATACGGTTAGACAGTAGTCGTTCAATCCATCTATGAGGGAAAATGTTGTCGTTAGTATCTGTATTACCATAAATGTTAAATGGGCAAAACCTGAAATAAAAGTTCAACTCAAAATGTATGTCATTCATCATTATGTAGCATTGAAAACATATCAATATTTGTTACATTAACTGCTTTATATAATTGGTTTAAATGATTATTATAGGAATATAGCTATATGAATTGTATCGCTCTGTAAGATTCACAAGTATGCTTCATTAGAAATTGGGCATGTAATCCTGACTTGTCTATCGAACGGTAATAAAGACAATTGCCTGATAAAGATCGCTGCTGATTTATCTTTGTTTTCTTGTATTTTACAGATGAACACCTACCTTGTCGCCTCGTTCGCCATTGGAACTGTGCTGGCTCTTCAAATATTCTTTCTATATCGATACACACTTGATCAAAACATTTCATCATGTCCCCAATTTGCTGAAAAATGTCCAACACCGGAGACATTGGATATTTCCTCAGTTCCTGTTGATGTATCTAAAATCCCTAGGCAAATATTTGATGTAGCTATGTATCTAAAAAGGGCCAGATTACATGCGAGAGGCTATAAAACACGAACAGCACTGAAATATGCATGTGAGCATATGGATGCAATACTGAAGGGATTCAAAACCTCTTTTGAAGAAGTCACACGACGGAAAGTAGACAAGCCAAGCAGTATTTGTCCGGAGTACTACGTTGATAAAATGAACGGTTATCAGATCAGGAATTGTTCCTTTTCTAAACCTCTCGAGGAAATTGTCACAATTGTTCGTCTTGATTACGGTTCATCAGCTGATACAAAAATTACCAGAGATACGTACGGCGAAAATATCCCGGTCGTAGTTGGTGACTACGGTGGGAAAGTTAAGGAGCAGAGAAATATACGTGTAAAGCACATGGAATCTACAACCACTGAGGGGAATGCTTTAAACATATTAATACAGGAAGTGAAAACCCAATACACTTTAATTGTTAGAAATGTAACGGAACTTGATTCGAATTCCCGGATCGAGAGACTTGTGCGAGAGATAGAGATTCTGAAGGTTAACGCAGTCGGCGGGGCTATCAGAAACTCTGATAACTATTGGCATTTAGGTTGCCATCAGAGGGTGTTCCGAAACTACACATTAGTATACGAGGAGGGGTACGACGAGTCGATGCACGATTGTGTTTTTTGCGATCACGTTGATGGACCATTTCTTATGAGAACAGATAAGCTAAAGCAGGTAAAGTTTGACGGTAACTTGACTCCTATGGGACTGTACGAAGATTTTTTCATGAGGCTGAATTCTGACGTTGCGCTCTGTCCTGACGCCTTGTTCGATATGGATTTCCCACGCCGTAGTGATTTAACCGTAGAGTGGGAGAAGTTTGGAAGAAAACGAAATCTTTATAAATTAAAGTTTTCTTTTGGACTGGTTATACATTTTGGATGTAATTATGACTATCCATGTAAAAGGCGAAAAGGATATATCAGGTCACCGTGCTGTATTCAGGAATTGGCAGATGCAAACAATGAATTTATGGAAATGTGTGAAAAGGTGGGTGCATCGTGCCAATTGAATGCGGGAACAAATCTAGGAGCTGTGAAGATGTATAAAGTGATTCCTTGGGAGGCAGACGGAGATCTCAATTTTCATTGTAATGACTTCACAAAATTGAGAAAGGCTGGATTAAACCTGAGTTCGAAAGGCATAAGAGTGGGAGTGGAACATATCAGTCCATGCACTCCAAAAGCAACTCCCGCACAATTAGGCGCACACACCAGACATTGGCATGTTGACATCTGGTCACGTGATACAGTTGAATCCTTCACAGTGAGATCTGAACATCGTAATTTGACAAAGATTCTACATAGTGGACGCATAGTATCGACAATGAGAAACCCGGCTTTATTTGCACGTACTATGTACCCCGAACTCTTTCTGCACCAACAGCATTATAGTGAAGGTGGGAAAATAACCGTTTATAAATTTGCAAAGTGCCCTACTGTTGATAGTCATGATTGCATAGACCATTACTACGAAGACGGAAATATCCAATTGAACGACCCAGTGGCATAATAAATAGGGCGGAGCGAGTGTTGTTTATATGGAAACAAAAGTTGTAATGGTGAACCTAGTGCATCGCACCATCCTTAAATTGATGACGTTATCCTAATGTTGCAAAAAGATGATGTCGTTTTCAGAATAATTACGCATGCTAGCTGTTTTTCCCTTGTTAGGTGAAGACTTATAAAATCGTTCGCCCCCTTGGGGTTGAGATAGAAGCAAGTGAGAGTATAACCTAACACTAGCGCGCAAGCGCAGACCGGCCAGAGTAGGCCCTCGATGACTTCACGGTCCAGTGAACAAACACAAAAGCGACGATAAGTGTTCGCCAATGGACTCTGAGTTGCAAATCCCTCCACTACACATCCCTGTTCCAGTTAACAGACAAATATTTTGTCTGAAACTAGTTGAAATTTTGCAATTTTCATTTCCATCAAGTATTACAAGTTGCAATATCTTAACTAATACATCAAACAAAATCGAAATTTTACAAAAAACACAATTTTCCAAATTTCTCCTTTGAAAGTTACATGTTATCTTCTATGACTTTGTATTACTAAGAAACAGTCAATACTACAAATGTACACTCATTGAGAAAAAAGAATTTTGGTAAAATATTCATTTTCTCAAATTTCATCATTTTCCCCATACCTAAGGTGGAAGGAAAATGGTCAAATTCCCCTAGAAACAGAACAATCTGATATATCTTCAAACTTTACCCTTATTCCAATTAACGGAAAAATATTTAGTCTGAAACTCGTTGAAATCTCGCAATTTTCATTTTTATCAAGTATTACAAGTTGCAATATCTTAACTAATGCCGAAAAAATAATCGAAATTTTACAAAGACCACAATTTTCAAATATCTCCTCTGAAAGTTACATGGTTATCTTCTCTGACGTTGTTTAACTTTAAAACAGTGCAATACTGCAAATTTTTTGGTAAAATGTTTATTTTTCTCAAATTTCATCATTTTCCCCATTCCTAAGGTAGAAAATAGTCAAATTCCCCTAGAAACAAAATATTCTGATATATCTTCAAAATATCACATTTTATAAAAACTGGAAAATGTCAAATTTTTCCTCAGAACATTACTTGGACATATCTTCTTTGACTTTGTATCACTATGAAAGAGTGTAATACTGCAAACTTGAACTTATTGAGAAAAAAGTGTATCATTGATAAATGTTGATTTTTCTTAATTTTCACCTAACCCCATTACTAAGGTCGAAAATTCCCTCAGGAACATTTTTTTTGATACAGGATATCTTCAAACAAAAACTGTTTTTCCTTAGAAAAACACTTGGTTATCTTCTCTGACTTTGTATGACTTTAAAACGGTGCACTGATTGAAACAAAAATTGATTGGATAAAAGTTTTTGTTTTTATTAAATATCAGCGTTTTCAAGATTTCCTAAGGTAGAACATGAAACTGGTCGAGATTCCTACCCTTTACCCATGCATGCATAAAAGACAAACTCAATCATACTTTCTATATTGGTCCAGGGTCCGGCTTTCTGAATCCCTCCCAAGGGACTCCCTCCCTTGATCATAACCTGGAAAGAGTTGAGATCCCTACCTAATAACCATATATGCAATTGCATTGTATGAACAGATGAATAAAGGTATACTTATGTTCATGACTTAATCCAAGGGTCATAACATGCTGATGGAAATGGCTGAAATAACAAAGGCACCAGATTAACTTTGTAACATCCTTGATACCAAAAAGAATGAGAACAAATGTGGGTTACATTAGCAATATTACTTTGAATGTGAAAACTTTGCCTTAATTGTTTAAATATCAAGGTGAACAATACAAGACTCTTGTTTCTTTATGCTTCATGAAAATAATATCGGGAAGTACATAGCTGCTATCCACCTGTTTGTTATTCTATCCTAGGTCAAGGTCACATTGAGGTCAAAGGTCATAATTGATGTCAGACTCATACATTTTGACCATTGAAGATATCATAATAAAATTTAAGGAACATATGTAGGATGGTAAAGCGGTGAATATGGTACTACTTTAGGGTCAACACAGCCGAAGTCATCGTCACATTTAGGTCATAGGTCAAATTCATAATCTGAGCCATGACTTTTGAACCTCTGAAGAAATGTAGGATGATAAGGCGGTGTGTCGCATACTACTCTAGGGTCAGTACATCCTAGGTCATTGTCACATTGATTTCAAAGGTCAAATTCACTGTCTTGGCTAAAAGTTTTGACTAAGGGTAACTCAATGAAATTAAAGGAATAAATGTAGGATTGCAAGATGGTCTGTTGCAAACCACAATTGAGTCTGTACATGGAAGGTTAAGGTCACATTGAGATCTTAGGTCAAATTCATTATCCATGCCATAACTTCTTACCCACTGAAGATTTATCAATGCAATATAAGAGATATACATGTATGTAGGATGGCAGGACAGAGTATTGCAAACACTAATTGGGTCCATATCCCCAATGTCAGAGTTATATTCAGGTCAAAGGTCAAAATCATTGTTGGGGGGTCATAACTTTAGCTTGGTGAAGATAACTCAATTAAACTTAAGGGACTATGTATGATGGCAAGGCAGTGTGTGGCAAACACAATTGGGTCCATAGGCCCAAGTTCCAGTTGAGGTCAACGATCAAATTCATTGTCTTGGCCGTCATTTCTGAATCACGGAAGAGTGTCCGTCCAGAGGTCAGAGGGTCCTGGGTTCAAATCCTTGTCTGGCCATGCATATCTCTTTTTTTCTTCTTATTGGGGTGTTTTTTTCCACCCTTGCTTCATTAAAGCACTGGGTCAATGCTTGACAAGGGGATATCCCAATATGGGTTAATGTAAAATAGTTGTTCTTGGTGGTGAAAACTTAGAAAGAGGAAGGAGGAATGTAGCCGAACTGGACTGGCCGGTCAATCGGCAGTGATCAGTTCGGAGGGTTCCAGGTTCGAACCTGGTCTGGTCATGCACAGATCTGTCACCAGTATATTTGTGTCAATACACATANGGGGGGGGGGGGGGGGGGGGGGGGGTCTCCCTCCAAAAAAGGGAAAGTTTGCAAATATGTATCCAACTTTAAATTATATTGTACTATTAGGAATCTGTTAACCCAAAGGTATATATGTAGTGTACTAGCCACACCTTAAATAGACTAGTATCAGTACGTTTACCCACGTACATAGTAGTTGTGTCGGTAGGAAGTGTGTGGTATTTTACCAGGGTGACAAATTTATATCAAATATCTTTATGATGCAGTATACACAGTACATTTCACTTTTATCACTTGTCATTTATATCCGAGAAAAACATGAAATAACAGAAACATCATATTTAACAAAAAAAATGTTGGTTTATTTTTTGACATCTTCCATATAATGTTATAACACCAAATTAGACCTGGATTCAGAATCAAGGCTTAACTGGCGAGGTTTGGCTAAGAAGATTATTTAAAAAAAATGCTTTACCATTTTTATTTCACAATAAACTTTGTCTATTTATAGTAGTTGTTGCGTATTTGGCGCAAAATGTTGGGCTCACAATTGTCTTTGGGTTCGAAGACTTTGTTAAAGCAGGGAGCAAAACCATCCTTGATATCCAGGGGTTACGTTCACCTACGCTCTCTATACACCCCTGGAATATGTCATAGCAAAATTGAAGGCTCAGTGTGTGTCTCACTCTGTTGATGAGACAAGAAGACTAGTTAGATCCTTTGAGGTATACATACAAAAAAACTTGCGGTCGCGTAACGGTAGAAATTGACTGATTTTGAAGTCGGATGTGCTCTTTTGTAATCTTCAAAGGACAGGTATCAGCCTAGCATGTTGTGTGCTTCTGCTGGACTTTCCCAAATATGTTCCCTTTTTGTGGCCTCTCTAGAACAAGAAGCACAGGTGCATTAATTATTAATAGCTCACCTGGAAATTTATTTTTCATTAAAGGTTGTTGATTACCTCTTACCATACAAGAAATATCAGCTTGGGGATCTCAACAATTTCCATGTTATGACTGAAGGAGGAAGTCCTCAGGGGTTGGGTGGGCTCCATTAAGGACTATCTTGGTATCATGAGTGTTTTTCCTCTGCATGCCCAGCAGCATAAGGATGGGATCTTTACTGATTTCATGTAAAATGTGGGGACTAAATTAAGCCCCTTGTGGCAGGGCAGGACCCTGGAGCCAATCATGTAAGCATGGATGTATTCAGATGGTTACATGGTGGGGGGGTCTTAATTATCTTTACACCCAAACTTCCTCTATTGGCACTCAAATGCTCTGGCCTAGTGACTGATTTGCCTCAGTTTTTTTCAGACCTGAGATATACTACAATTTTGGCAGTCATTCAGGAAGAGTAGGTTTTTGAAGATGAAATGTCTTATTTTCCTCTTTACTGGAAAACATACCATGTATAAATTTTGTATCATGTACATTGTATCTTCTGGAAAATGATTCAATACACTATATATATTAGAGATGATATATACAGGTATCTTATGCAATGAGGCTGTATTATAGAGGATACCACTTTTTCTTTACTATGTTCAGCTATACAACACTCTCCGAATACTCTGTATATCACTCATTTATACTCTGAATACAACTCTCTGTGCTCTGTATACCACTCTTATTATACTATGCAGACCAATTCTTTTATACCCTGTATTACGCTCTTTATATACTATGTTACAAGATCAATCCTTATATACTCTGTATATCACTCTTTATAAGCTGTATACCACTCCTTATATACTGTGTATACCACTCCTTACATACTCTGTATACCACTCTATACATACTGTGCATATCACTCTATATAAACTGTGTATACCACTCTATATATACTGTGTTTACAACTCCTTATATGCTGTGTATGCCACTTTATATGCTGTGTTTACCACTCCTTACATACTCTCTATGCAACTCTTCTCACATACTGTATACCTACTTTATATACTGTGTATACCATTCTATATATACTGTGTGTAACATTCAATATATACATTTATACCACTCCTTATATTCTGTGTACACCACTCTATATGCTGTGTTTACCACATCTTACATATACTGTATACCACTCTTTGTGTACTATATAGACAAATTCTAATACACCCTGTATACCACTCTATGTATACCATGCATATCACTCTTTATATACTCTGTATACCACCCTGTGTACTCTGTACACCTCTTTTTATGTACCTTGTATACCACTCTCTATATACCATTCTTTATATACTCTGTATACCACTCTCTGTATACTATGCATATCACTCTTTATATACTCTGTAAACTATATAACCTTCTCAATATTTCTTTGTAAAGACATCTTGGTTAATTTTATAATAAACAAGAGGCACTGAGTTAGGACCAGTCTCCTGGGAAAATCCTAACAAAAGTTTTTGTTGCTCAGCAATATAAATACTACTACAGACATGTATTACACATGTATATATTAGCACAGATAGGTATTACACATGCTATATACTATCACAGACAGGTATTACACATGCATATACTATCACAGATAGGTATTACACATGTTTATATTATCACAGACAGGTATTACACATGTACTATTAAGTCAGGTATTACACATGTATATATTATCACAGACAGGTATTACACATGTACATATTATCACAGACAGGTATTACACATGTATATACTATCACAGATAGGTATTACACATATAAATACTAACTACAGACATGTATTACACATGTATATATTATCACAGACAGGTATTATACTATCACAGATAGGTATTACACATGTATTTACTATCACGGACAGGTATTACACATGTATTTACTATCACAGACAGCTGATATAACACATGAAATTACTTACTACAGAAAGGTTCCTAAATATATTGCTATTGTTGTTTTTGAGGGGAGGTTGAATGGAAAATAGTTTTATTTATTTATTTATTTTCTCATTATATAAATATCTGTTTTACCATGATATCTTATATTTGAATGGTAATAAAGTGCATGTGGTTACCATGTATTCCGTCTTTGCGTATTGCAGAGTTATCTTCTCTTCGGAGCAGGTATTGATTGTTACGTCATTGGTTTGTGCGAGAAAATTGCGTCTTTTTCTCAAAAAATGATGACGTTACTCTCACAAATAAGTGACGTAACAATCAATCCCTGCTCCCAAGAGAAGATAACTCTGCAATACGCAAAGACGGAATTTGGTTAATGTGTGAAATGCCTTTTAGGTCACAAAATACAATTGTATCCCTACAAAATATATATCTAGTGATCAATATCTCAAAGACTTTAAAGAACATGCACCTGATGATGAAATATCACTTATCTGTATGTATGTATTAAATAATGAAACATTGCTTCTTGTCTGTGATAGTAAAAGTAAATACAAGTTTATAACCAGTTTGAAACAATGAATTAATGTTCCTTATTACATGACAATATATTGATAGAACATAGAATTACAAATACATAAGTATGTTCCTTAATGTCTGTGAAAGCTAAAACAATTTTATCTGAAGCAATATAATTAATGATCCATAGCCTGTCTGTGATAATAAATACAGGTGTATGACCAGTCTGAAACAGTAAATAAAAAAAATATGTTCCTATGTCTGTGATAAGCAGCCGGAAGCAATTAATAAATGTTCTTATTATGTTTGTTATAGTTAATACAAGTTTATAACCAGTCTGAAACAATTAATAAATGTTCATAATCTGTCTGTGAATTTGTACGGGTAATAATACAATTTTATCAAATTACTTTTAAAACATTTAGAGGAAATCCATGAAAAAAAAACCTAAGATAAAACATTTTAATGACGAAATTGTAGGTTATACATGCAGTTATATCGTTTTCCTACAGTTATAAAATACATAGGAACATCCCTTTCTCAACCACTTACCCCCATCTACTTTATAATGCTTAACCTTTTAAAATAATGTGAATACCGCTATAACCAGACGTATATTTGGTGGTATTAAACTCCTACTTTCACTTTCACATACTTTCGGTTAAAACATACGAAACAGGCTTCCGATTTAATGCTTTACCGTGCACAGCTCCCGTTTATAACATTCCCGTCTGAGTACCATGGCTACATTCGCGTATCCCGGTTGAAACCAACAGTGTCTAACAGCTGAACTGCCCTCACTGGAACCGGGGCTGACGGGGACCGTCGCTGACCAGGACCGTTGCATATTGTGGCCTTTTCATACACTTATTTTAGCAAAAATCTGCAATGATTTGCATCAATATGTGACTAATGTGTAGCATGGGAAAGTATCAGCATCAAATTATCAAGACAAAGGGATTATGATCATTGTTTTTAATACAAAAAGTGTAGCAGAAATCATAATGCGGAATTGTATTTAACAGTTGCCTCCCTTTGATCATGTAGATCTATGTAAAATGAACAACGAAATACTAAAAAATATACATCTAATAACACACACGGTCCTGAACGGGGATATCCTTATCAGGAAATCTAATGTTAAACATATCCGTTTATTTTTCGTCATGTAAGTTAAGTTAGGGATGAACACGGTAAACAAATGTGTCATAATGCTTTTCAAACGAGAAAGAAATAACTCGAATTACAAAATACTGAATGTATACATCTTACAATAAACACGGTCCTGAGCGGGGACATCCTGATCAGGAAATCAAATGTTAAATATATCCGTTTGTTTTTCGTCGTATAAGTTAACTTAGGGATGAACACGGTTAAAAGATGTGTCATTATGATTTTTAAAAGAAAAAACAGGTAACATGAACGACGAAATGCTGTATATAAACATCTTTCAATAAACACGGTCCTGAGCGTGGACATCCTGATCAGGAAATCAAATGTTAGATTTATCCGTTATTATTCTTCACATTAGTAAACTTAGCAATGAATACGCTCAAAACATATGTATTATTGACTTTTAAAAGCAAAAATAGGCAAAAAAACAACGAATTACTAAATATTTACGTCCTATAACATACACGGTCCCGAGCGTGGACAT